ATATTATTAAAGACGAGACGTTATACTATATATTGCCTTAGTAAAATATTCAATATTTATTGCTTTATTAAATTTTAAAAACTGTGATCAGAACTTTTGGTATACCCTAAGTAGCATTGACTTTCTGCAAGAAATTTGGCAGAAATAATATCGACTTTCTGCAAGAAATTTAGCAGAAATAGCATTGACTTGATGCAAGAAATTTAGCAGAAATAATATCGACTTTCTGTGAGAAATTTCACAGAAAGCATCTTTGAATTAATTTTATTCTAACAAATGCAGGCGTTTTCTGCTGAACTAAACTTTAAAAATTTCGCAGAAAGTATTATCAAAAATTTTCGCAGAAAGTCTGAAATTTTGGGAGGGGAAAGCCCCTCCCTGCCCCCCCCCCTAATCGGGAAGCCTGGACAGATGCGAAGAAAACGTTTTTCTTGCTGAATGATTCAGAGCGTAGATGTTTTATACAGAGAGAGATATGAAGAAGAAATTTTCAAAGAGAGGCAATTGTTGGATTTATTTTACAGACGGCGGTGATAAAATATAAATGGGAGAGGTTACATGAATTCTTATTACATTTCACATAGAGGCGATTCGAACAATTCTAATATCTGCCATTGTTGTGGTGGTTGCGTAAGTGTGAGCAGCGGACTTCCTCTAACTACAAAATGCATTCGAGCTTTCTTCATTAACGGTTTGTTTCCAACATCTCCGCGGATGGATGTCGACTTTTCTACAACTATGCACCATACGACGGTCATATTTTCCGGCGATCTTATAGTGTGAAGCATCAATCATACCTGCAAAAACATATCGTTGACCGCACTATACTGCATGTCCAATACTGCCAAAATTGCCTATGCTGTTCTCCTTGAGATTTTCTGGCAGCTCCATTGCTGCCTAATCTTTTATTATCATTTTGCAGTTCTTAAACCGCTCTATCTCCACAGAAAAAACGTCAATGACATCGGGAGCGAAAGTCTAGATCACAACAAACCATACTATCAAATCCATTGGTTTTCCTGTAGAACCCGGACAGAGTGGTCCTTGGGAAATTCTCAAACGCAGCGCATTTTCCTTTACATTCCTTGATCATGGTGTACGTCTTAAAAAGCTGTATCCGCACAAAAAAAATGACGATCGTATCAGGATCGATACTCAAGATCGTATGGACTATAGTATCCGAACAATGACTTTTTGGGTCGAATCTGCAGTGTGGTCCTTCGAAATTTTCGAATGTAGAATATTTTTCGTTCCATTATATGTTCAACTTGAAGGTCTTGTAAAGCTCTATCTGAATACAAAACACGATGATGGTATCAGCAGCAATACTGAAGATTGTGTGGACCGTAGTATCCCAACAATGAGTTTTCCTGTAGAACCTCAACAGTACGATCCTTGCAAATTTTCGAGCGGAGCATAATTTGCTTTATATCTTGCAATCATTTTGTAGCATTTCAAAAGTCCTATCTGCATTGAAAAAATGACAATCGTATCAGGAGCGATACTTAAGATCTTACGGACCATATTATCCTAACGATGCGTTTTCCTGTAGAACGTGAACTGTGTGATCCTTGAAAATTTTTGAGCGCAGCATATTTTACTTAACAATTTGTGATCATTTGTAGCTCTTAAAAAGTTCTATTTGCACAGAGAAAATGACGATGGTATCAGGAGCGATACTCAAGAGTCTATGGACTATACTAGGCCAATAATGAGTTTTCCTGTAGAACATGGACAGTGTGGTCGTTGGAAATTTTCGAGCGCAGCATATTTCCCTTAACAATTTGCGATCATTTTGTAGCTCTTGAGAAGCTCTATCTCCTCTGAAAATATGAGTTTCATTTTGTAAACTAACGCGGTTTGCCTGTGAGCGGGATTCCGATATTGATAATTGTTCTGTCCTAGGTAGAAATATGGAGAAGAGGTCTCGAAACGTGGCCTGAAAGAGGTCTAGATGCTTTATCCTTGCTTAAAGGAAGATGAAATTCAATTCTATAAAGTGTTCTGAGATGATTTTTATTTAGGGCCGTTTTACGTGCAAATCCGCCCCCTCCTTTATAATTTTTTTAAAAATGCCTAAAAAACATATTCTAAGTCATAACGAGTGAAATGATATGAATATTTTAAAAAACTGAACAAGCAATCCACAAGAAGTTCATTTATTCATCGTCATTGTAAAATCTGTCGAAAGATTTTCGCAAAAAAATCAATTAATGGTTTCCCATATGTTTCATTACGATCAAACTGCGATCGCACTGTGACCCGTAATTGCGAAAAATTGCGACGCAGCTACGCGTAACTGCGTCGCAGTCGATCGTAGTCGAATACATCGATTTTTTACTGCTATTAATGCGCCGCAGTTACGCGCAACTGCGACGCAGTCGTTAAAAAAGTGGCGACATGGGTTAGAAAAAACAAGACAAACTTATGTAAATTCTTCTCAATATTTATCAAAAGAAAGCTTGTAATAAATCTAAAATCTTCTGAAATGAAATTTTGTAGTCTCTGATAATCAGTGAACTAATCACTTTCAACTTCGACGAAATAAGTGTTTATATAATGTTCCAAAAGATTCTGTATGTAGCTTTCTTTTTAGATTAGGTTCCTCTAATAAATTCTCATTAGAACACAAGCAAACACGGATCCATCTCAGATAAATCTTAAGATACAGAGCAAGCTAGGACTCAAAGATAGATTTTTACTGTTTTTTACTATTAAAATATATCGTATAACCGATTTCATTTTTTTTCTCGTTTAAATTTTGAAAATAAACAAAATTGCAACAAATACTCGAAACTTTTTCGATTATAGGATTTTTATTAGATCTACAGTTGCCCTTCTATTATCTGTTAGACAACATTGAAAATAGTCCTAAGATTAGACAATCAATCGAAAAATGATCGGAGTGTTATTGAATGAAAGCTAATCAATGAGAGAAGAACCCATTATAGATGAGAAAATTCTTTTGTTTCTTTTTTATGAAAACTATAAAAAATTTGATTATGTCATGCGAAATTGTTTCAGTTTACTTGATCTATGATTCTCTTTTATGGTACGAGAGTTTTAGATTTAACTACGATCATTTTATTCATTCATTGTAATCAACTATCATACAAAATATCAGCAGCTGAAAACTAATGGTTAATACAAAAAAGGAAAAAAATTATGTCAATATGTCACGCGAGATTATAACGTGTATAATATTTCACTGATAAGGTCAAAGTATATTGTATCTTAATGTTCTATCAAAATTATTGTGAACTAATTCGTTCATTGCTCATGCTCAAGTATATATCGTATTATGTAAATGAAGTTTTTTCTATGAGTAATCTCAAGCATTTTTAACGAGTTTTTTGTATATGCCGACTATACGAATAGTGGTAGTAGAGAAAGTTTATTCTTTTTCTAGTCTCATATAGTACAGTAAAATGTACTATATATCATTTTTTACAAAACTTCCTCACATAGTTCAACTATATTCAGTATCAAATAAAAGAATTTAAAAAAACGATCTTGTTTCTATAATTTTTTGCAGTTCTGTGCATATCTTCAATAGCAGGTCTTCTTATTGATGATCGTTTTTTCGCACCATTGAAATTTGATCGGTCAGCAATTGATTAATCAGGTAAGATCTTGTTGAAGATTTTCGAAAACGATATTCTAAAGTTATTCCATTTTTGGTTTAGATTTTTAATAAGATTAATCGACATTCTCTTGCAATTTACTTAAGGTTAAAATTCCTCGCCTATTCCATTCGAGAGTTACAAGACTTATCCTGCGACTCTGGCTTTCAGCCGATTGACATATCATCACTGAGAAAAGTGGCTAGACAGGCGTAATTCACCATGTTAAATCGAATAGTGATATTTGATATTAAGTTTGAAATGATCTGGCACCATTGTCTCAGTACCTCAGATATTACACAATCAACCTTCGCATAATGAAAGAGTCAACATTTTGGAAATCTTAAGATAACAGTGTTAGATCATTTCGAGCCTAAAAATAACAATCATCATTCGACTCAACACGATGATGTTTGCCTCTTTAAAATACATTTAAGAAAGTTAGATTTCTACAGAAATTATTTTCTGCTGGGAAATGATAATTGTAAAAGTTCTAATGTACAATCTAATAGATAATGACGGATAATATACCATTTTCGAGAAATTGTAAAAATACAGATTCGATCTAATATCGTAGTTATTAAATGAAATAAATAAAATTATTTAAAAGAAAAAATCTCTTTATCTCTCATTCTGGATTAAACTACAGATTTCTGAAACTGACTAGTTGAATTTCTTTTCTACATCACAATGATTTTCTATATGAACATCAAATGTATAAAACAAAAAAAAGTTCCTTGGAAAAAATATTTCAAATGTTAATTCAATTAATTTTCTATTACAAAACAAATTCATACTTCTAACTTGCACGACAAGAAAAACAAAACAAAAAGAAAAAGAAATAAAAATAATATTCTACAGGAATGAATTTTTTTAAAGATAATCTGTGCAGAATACTAATATCAGACAAAGAAAAATTTTTAAGCATAAAATTCTTTTGATGATACTTTTGAATATGCATGTGTTGGTGATTTTCTTGGTCCTTCTTCTAATGCATATGAACCTTCATCTTTTTTACGCATTCGATAAACAATAAACATAACAAGAAGAATAGCTGATACCATACCAATACAAATTCCACCAATAATACCTGAGTTAAAAAAAATTTTTTTTTTTTTCTTTGATCATAGATTAATTTTTACTTACCAACAAGAATAGCTGGTCTAGATAATAGAATATGAAATATATGTGATGAAATACTTGGCATTCGAGATGTTGATTGAGAATTTAAAGATTGTTTATTATTAGAATCGATTATTGGATGTTTAGATACAGGTCTATTAACAGGTATTGCATTGGTAAATATGTAACCATTTACATCATCGCCATCATCTTGATATGAACTTATTTCATCATCATATTCATTGAATTGTGTGTCTTCATTTAAATATGATGTTATACTATTATTTAATTTTGATTGTGGAACAGTTTTTGAAGGTGAATCAATACTAAAATCATCTTCTTCTTCTTCTATTTCATCGTCATCATCATAGATATTTTCTGCATCTAAGATTAAAAAAGAAAATAGATAAACAAGAAGAAAAAAAACAATCATGTTGTTTTTATTCATACTATTTTCAATTTCATTTTCATTTTCATTTTCATAAACATTATCATTATTATTCTTATTTAGCATTGTAAATATTGTTGTTGATACTGTTCTTGTTGAACGAGAATTAGATATATCTGTTGGTATAAACTAAGAAGAAAAGAAAAAGGGAAAAGCGATGTCATCTCTAGAGATGTACAATAATTATGATTATTTGTTTGAACATAACATATTTCGGTTCCATTCTTTTCTTGTTTTTTCATCTAGTTTGATCTCCCGAGAGTATTAAATAGATTTATTACATTGATTTATACATTTAATAAAAAGAATGATCAATCAATTTTTAGAGAAACTGTAGCAATAGTTTATGATGATGATTAGAAAAAGTTCACGATAAAATATTCTTTGAAGGTCATCAGTTAATTAAATTTCACTCAATTAAATGAACGGATCATAATTGAAAAGTCTACGGAAAGGAAATGACTAATAAAACAACGTACTTGGTTTGATTGAGCAATAACTAATATTGGATTTTGTATAAGATGGACGAATACTGTCAACATACACAAAAAGTAATATAAATTTTGATCTTGATAATAAATATTTGCCATTATAATTTTTGTTAGTTGAGTAAAATAAGAAATTGTTATCTCTGGATGTTGTCACGATGATTCGACCACAAGAAGAAAATGAAATCCATTAGTAATACTAATACTAGTCGTCGTTGTTGGTAAAGAAAAAAAACAGGAAGGAGAAAATGAGTATTGTTATGTGAAAATGTCGCTCACTCGATATCTATCTAAAGAGAAGAAAAACATATATATATATATATATTAGAAAGAATCAGGAAAAAACACATCGTCTTTGTTAGTTTCTAGTCGCAAAAAAAAAAGCAGAAAAATCATTATAGATATTGAATAAAACAAAAAAGAAAAAAAGAAAGTCGTGACAACTCTATTCAATGCGTTTATTCGCATTTTATCTATTCGTTTCATTTATTCGATGATCGTAATTTCATTTCTTTGACACTTACTAACATCTAATTTTTAAGTACATCGTATATATACAAAAAAAAATTATTTGTTTTACATGCTGTCGATATAACCATTTCGATGCACATCACGTCAAGAAGATGACATATGTTTTGTTGCTAAGATCAATTATGATACTGGCTTGTACGAAAGAAAAGAAAACGTTGTTCACCGCTGGTGCTAGTTCATTTAACATCCTTTATTAAAAAAAAAAAAAAGAAAAGAAGAGAGAATCGAACGATGTTACATCATCTTATCTGTGCAATTTGAGAAAGAAGAAAAATTGAACAAGCATACATGATAGAATAAGAGCAAAAGAGAAAATGTCAACTGAAGAGATAGACAGATGTGTCTGTATATATGGATATGGCAAAACAATTGCATCATACTATCATTTAGCTTGTCTTTGCTTTAGTAGCTTTTTACGATTTACAATTCTAGGTTTTCTTTGTCATACTGGTAAAGCAAGATTTAATCAATATACTTCTATGACAAAACATTTTCTTGTTTTAATTATAAAATGCTTAAAGGAAAACTTAACATCCTCTTCTTTCATGCAGTACATATATAAATAAAGATAATCTATATTGATAAAAAAAATGCATTCATGCATAAATAGATAGGACATTATAAAGCTGCACATAAAGATGAATCTTTACGTTTAATGTAAAAATCAATAGTGAAAAAGATTGCATTTGATAACATATTAATGGTAAAATGTCGTTTAATATAATCAGATAATTCTTTTTTGCCATGACACATCTTAATATTTATCTTATTATACAACTTACAAGAAAAAAAGATCAATCAATTTATATGCATACGTTCTTGTTTACAATCGGCTACTAACTATTACCATTTTTCAATTTTCTGAATGGTATGTCATGCAAGCGGTTTCATCTCCGTTTTCTTATATGACTGATGTTAGTCTTCTTTGACTCACTTCTCTTATGCGTTCGCAAGATTCTAGTGTTGATGAGAGTGTTTCTCTTGTATGAGTTGTTTCCTTTCGGATATTGTTAATGCAGGCGCGGGAAGATGAGTCTTGTCATGTTTTCATCTTTCTATCTGAGCGCTTTCGATTTATAAGAAATAGAGAAAAACTTAATAGTTATAATTGTTATATAAAGTTGTTAGAACATGTCATTTTATGATGATACTCACCAGAGGGTTGTAATAATTATTGACTGTTGACCGCCTAGTATCCGTTGTATATATATATATAGAGAGAGAGAGAGAGAGCGAGTGAGATTAAATAAAATGGTCCGTTTGCTCTCTTAATGTGTCAAGGGTTCGGTCAAGCATTGCATGGAACATAGTAAAAATTTAATATATTTTAAAAATTTGATCGATGGTGCGCGTGTCTTGATTATTATGATAATAAAATGCATAATAATCATGATGGGAGACCAATCATCAAGCATTATGTTCTCTTTAATATTCATTTTTTTCTTGTTGCATATGCCTGTTCGACAATCATGTCTAGACACAATGAAGGAGTGCAGTGTCATACAGATAAATATGTAAAAAAAATAAGGAGAACTAATCATTATGATGATTGTTTATTATTCATTGACGATGAACAGTTATTGAGTATGTATATATATAAGATGAAAATGACGAGACTAGAAAAAATAATAATTTATCGAAATGTCACATAAATAAAAAACACAAATTTTTTCGAGAATCAATTTGTTTCTATGCTCATAAAAAAAAGCAAAGCTTATCTTCATAACATTGATCAATAATTATATTCGCTTAGGTTATACAACAGGGGTAATGTTAATGACAAATAACAATGATACGACTGACTTGTTCTTTTTTTTTTCAATAGAAAGAGACCAATAAATAATAATGTCTCATTCAGTATAATCATTACTTTATAATGTATTAAGTCGGATGTGAAAAGAAGAAATGCAGAGACCAGCTGTCAAACGACATACAAACCATACAGACATATTTCACTACTTCTTTTTTTTTTTTTTGTTTAAAAGGGACAAAGAAATACTTTTGCTTAATAAAAATGATTGTAATTATTTTAATAGATGAAAATGAACAGTACTGATAATAATTCATGATATAAAAACTAAATGAAACTTGTGACTAGACAGATGTTCTAGATATTCAACCATAAATAAAGAATCATTAACCTTTCAGTATTATTGTCTACATTGTTATTAGCTTGATTCAAACAATAACAAGCTTATTAACGTTCAATATCTTCTTGAAGAGGCGTACAACGCTACTTGACAAACTATTAAATCAAGAATTGAATGTTAAATATTATTGAATTTCTATGATTCAAATAATAAACCACTTAAATAAAACTGAACGGACGTTTTTAATTTAATCAATTAGATAAATTTTATACAATAGCTTATAGACACATCTGAATCGATCTATTTTTTTCGGCCTGTGTATTTCTTCTTTTTTTTTTTTTGTCATACTAATATAATGATGATAATTGAATGGAAGCAAAAATATATTTTTATAAGAAAACAAGGAAGTCATGTATACAGAAAATGACATGCCTCTACGAAACATTTGTTAATTTAATACAACATGTATAAGTACAAACATTAACTTAATAAACATATAAATGAACTAAAGAAAAAATAGGACAATAAACAAGATTGTTTCAAGTCGAAATGATTAAAAAAAAAATTATTTTTCTCATGTTCTAATAATAAAGATTTTTCAATGTAAGGAAAGTTGCAACTTTTTGGTACGAATGAGGTTTTATTTGTATTTAGCTAATAACTTCTGTTTCTCTCGGCTGATTAGTTTTATATGTTATTCCTCTTCGAACACTCCACTACTACATCAAATTTCAGCTCTTTAACTCATACTGTCATTTAGTTATTAGAGATACATTATAAAAAAAAAACGTCTTTATTTTGTACATCGTTCAATACTCTATCACAATAAATGCCGTATTTAAATTTCATATCTTCTTTATTCTTTCATTCGACATTCATAATGTTTGACAGAAACATGTATGTTTTCGGGTAGAATGACACAAAATTAATTCTACTAGTTCTGCCGGTGATCGAGGTAATGATGCGCATAGTATATGAAAAGAAAATAACTCATGTCGTTAGAAACTGATGAGAAAAAGTTCTTTCTTACCAACTTTGCTACGGTCACAAGATAACAGGAATTCCTGAAAAAAAGGTCATCATACTCATTTGGCAGAGTGACAATTTTCCAGTAGATATTTACAGTCAAATTCATTCGATAATATTCTTTCCGGGTAGAATTTAAATGAATAGGATACGGAAAGCAAATTGCCTGTGTATTGTGACCTTTTTTTGACTTTCAGCTCTCCATATAGAGCTGAAAAATGACTCCAACATTCTCAATGATTAAAGTCAATTTTATTATTGAATTTAGAAGAAATAAAATAATAACATCTGGAAATGAGTAAAACTAAGGAATGCACCATAAAGAATGTCTACGTTTTACAGTTCATCTTTAAAACAAAATATAACATAAGATGCAGCGTGTAAAGTTCTATAATTTTCATTTAATATACCCATCTTTTATTTTGGAAATAGTTGAAATCCTGCTCAACCAATCTGTAGACGTTGCAAGAAAATTCACTTTTTTTTTTTGGTACATAAGAAGTTGTTTTTTCTTATTTCATCAATCAAGTGAACTACAGTTTTTAATATCATCCGATTGCATATTATGGCTTAGAGCATCTCATTTATAATAATAAAAAAACACTGATATTAGGACTATTTGATAGTCAACTGTGATTGTTTATCAAATGTACCAAACATTCTTCAGACTATGTCAATAATTCCATATCTATATATATGCTAAATACCGTTGTCTTTGGGATTGCGCATATAGAAGATAAATTTCAGTATAATTTCCAAATTTTCTTTAAGTATTCAGTCTTTTGGTTTATGCTCCGTTTGTTCGTCTACCTCCTATCAAATTGAAGTATCACTATTTTTTTTTGTTAGTGAATTTCTTCAAACAATGATACAAAAAATAATTATGATCTCATAGCATCGAAAATCGATCGAATAGAATTTTGTTAATAAATTGTAGAAATTTTCACGCTGCAAATTGTGATATAGTCTATTTCTTTTTTTCTAATAAAATGTATTGCATGATGAAATACAAAACGCAGTCATTCAATATACACCACAGCTTAGATCTAATTTTAGTAATCTATAAACAAAATCTTAGTAGAATCACATTCAAAAGTATCTGATATCTGTTTATGTTCATTACAATCTTTTTTTATAAAGAAATTTTTTTTTGCACCAAGCCAAACTATCATATGCATATCTCGAAGAACTACTCTAGAACGAGCCCGTTGATAATTTATCAATTATAGCTACGAGTAGGTCATAGTGAGACTAAGATAAGTTTAAAAGCACTCGTATCCATAACTTACTGATAAAGAATTATGGTTATTTCAATGAAATTTTTTACTCAGCGCAAGAGATTTCCGACATGTTCAAAACAAAGAATTTCGATCTAAAAATTTTTTTGTACCCGTACGCTTGATAGTCATGAAAGTTTCAACGACAAAAAACATGCTTTTCTCGAGATATTCGATATAAAAAAAAGGTAGCGGACACAATAATATAGTTTATTTGAAAATAGAATATTTCGAGAAAGACATGTTCGTTTTCATTGAAACTTTCACGAGTATCAAATATGCCTATAGAACAAATTTCAGGTTAAAATTCTTCGTTTAAGACTTTTCGGAAATGTTTTACTCTCAATAAAAATTTTATTTCAACAGCCATAACATTTATCAGTAGGGTATGAGCGCAAGTTCTTTTAAGCTTGTCTTAATCTCACCGAGATCTAGTCATAGTTATCATATGAAGTTGAAAGACATTCGACAGGAAGATATGTTCCCTCGTTAATCTATAAAAATAGCATTTTTTTTGTAGAAAACATCGCATGACGGATTTCCTTTAAACGACTATATACCATGAAATCTTCCAAAGTGACACGATAGTTTTTTTCTTTATGTTCTGAGTAGAATACTAAATTTGACAGTTGAATATTGACACTTGATTTAAAACAATCTATCGAATTTGGATGATAATTTATTTTACAATATCCATAAAAATAAGGTTAAAGTTACTTTGTTTGTCAGATCTTATTAATATTCTTCCTCATTAATTTAATCGGTACAGGTCTGTGGATATCATCATTCAAACAAAGTTTTACTAATGAAAAATCTTTTGATATTTTTTATTCAAAATATAAAGTTTGAAGTTAGATTCGAACCAATACAGTTTTATACTTAAACCATTGAACTATTTTATCGATTATTCTCTTACATATATATCTACAATTGAACAAATTAATTGATTAACTTTTGATATTCTAATAGATTAAAAATTGAACTAACTTATGTATTATGTTATGGAAGAAAAATACGAAATTAATAAATATTTATCATAGTATCCTTTCTATTCATTAAGAAAGAATAGAAAAAAAAAAAAACATTACTATTTCAAACATATTTTTATTGATTATCACTCTTTAAATAAAAAACAAAAAGCATGATGAAAAAAATATTTCTAAGCGTTGTTAACTAAATCTTCTACTGCTATTGTTTGAAAATCATTGTATAAATTAACTAATGCACCTGTATTAACATTTGTATCAGCAGCAATAATAAAAACTAATGGTGGAACATTATATGTTATTATTTGACGTGCTGACCAATATGTAATAACAGTTTTTAATTTTTTTAAATTCATTCGTGAACTTTGATCTTGTAATGTTTGTGCTGATGGTATAATTGTTCGTAAATCAAGTTGATCAACAATTTCAGCTGTAGGTAATTTTAATATTGGTGTACCATCTTTATCAAGTACAAGTAAAGCTTCAATTCCATCAATATGAGCAAATAAACGTGGAAGTGTCATTTGATTTAATGAATAATTTTGTTTTTAATAAATGAAAAAAAAAATATAGAAAAAGAAAACAATATGCAGAAAAAAAGAGAAGAAAGATAAGATGAATATTTCTTCGGTTGATTGGATTACTAGAAGAATACTAATCGAGAGGATGTATTTTAGATGTCGCTACTAATTAGAACAAGACTTGACATGTAATCTTAGTGAAATTTCAGTTGTTTTTCAAATAGAAATAATAAAAGAAGTTTTACACAACTTTTATCAAGAAGTTTGATTTGAATTTAAGCTGTACATTGAATAGTAATTAACGTTCAATAAAAATCTTTATAAAGCTTGTCAACAATTTACTTCATAGTGGACTAGTTTCTCCAACTTTGATCAAAAGTAAATATGCTGGAAATTGAGGTGGTAACTGCTGAATATTTTCTTGTTGAGAAAACCAAAAGCAAATAGATTTGAATCAAATATTTACTATTGAACAAGAAAGAGTGAAAGACAAGTAAAAGAATCCACAAGTCAAAATTGTAACATTATTTATTTATCTTTTTTTTTCGTACTGGTTGAATAGAGCTGACGGAATTACATACGAAAAGTGTATGTAAAGCACTAAAAAAAAAGATTAAGGAACAAAATGCCAAGTTACCATTATCTTCACACATAAGGAAAATAGACCAAAAACTTCTGACTTTTATGAAATATTTTAGAATTTGTTTCCAAGTAAGAATTTTGTCCATGTTTGAAAAAAAACGTACAATTCCAAAACAAGCTGTTTCTACGTAAATTGTGGAGCTTTTCGCGCTGCATCTTGTGATTTATATTGTTTTTTTCAGTACTACGTATTATGTGATTCACAATTGAAACACAAATCATAGCCATTTAATCTGCCTCATTTGTTATGCGATGTATACGTTCTTTTGTCATGACATTGTTAATGATTGATTAAGAAATCTTTGAGAGTAATGTATGATTTCTCTTATGAAAACATACCAAGGTATTGTCAAAATGATGCTGACTTGGTTCTTATCTCGTAGCCATTTATATTGATTGATACAAACTTTGTTGTCGTATGCTGACACTCTCTCTCAGCCTTGTAAAATACATGACCAATTCTTTGCCATAGCCTACAAGCGAAAATTAATGACAGTTATCAGTTTTTGTCTTTTATTTCCATTAACATCAAATGTGAAAGGCTAGCACATTCGAAGGCTTCTTTCCAAGTCATTGCTATCTTCTAAGAAGTACCTTTATCAACCACACTTGCTTATCCTCGCATTTAGATTCAAACTCTCTGTTCATCAAGTTTATTTTTCGAATTAAGCCTCGTGAAATCCATCGTCGTAAATACCAATTCATTTTTCTCACGTGCTTGTGTATGAGATTTGCTGACCGAACAGTTTTCTATTTCGAATATCGGATGAGATTTCACTAGAGACGTTTGAAATATAAGGAAAACGCTTCAGAGAAGTGTACACGCAGCACTTTTGGCTGATCGCGATGCTGGGTAGCTTTTAAACTGGCGATCGGGCATTGGTTGCTGCATCGAATAGTAATGATCAACATGGAGCTTGGTATTATTTCCTTCCTTCTTTACACTATCGGAGACGGCAACATGATCTTTTAATCGACTTAGTTCATTTGAGACATCTTTGACACGATCATGGTCTGGCCCGTAAATAGCTCGAAAGATTTCCAAACTTTGATTGAAATATTTAATTGCTTCTTTATCGTTCATCATCGCTTGATAGAGGCGTGCTAAACCACACAACGAAACAGCTAATTCCTTGTTGTTCGACGATAGAGTATCACGTTGTAAATCGACTAATTTCAGTTGATAAATCAACGCTTGATCGTACATATTTTTCTTCCAAAAGAAATTTACCATGGCCGATAGACATACTTGATTGGCTTCCAAATGTGAATGTCGTTCGAGCACTGCGAACGCTTGTTTATAGTATTCATCTGCTTTGTGAATATCACAGTCTTCTAGTACCGTTGCTAATGACACCAAGGTGTGAGCATATCTCGGATGATTAGCATAATCGTTTCCTAGCAGATATGGCAGCATGGCCAGTTTCTCTTCACATAACTTTTTAGCTTCATTGATGTTGCCTTTCTTTTTCAGCGTGCTAACAATCCAATCAAAATGTAGGGCAAGATGGGGATGATCGACGGAAAGACATTGCTCTTCCATCTTCAACTGTCGTTGGTAATTATCGAGTGCTTGATCCCAGTTGCCCATCTTCTCGTAGACTTGACCGATATCGCCATAGCAGATCGCAATGTTGGGATGAGGAATGTCAGACAAAAGACGTCGAAGCATAGCCAAGGCACGATCAAAATACTCCATAGCATTGTTCCAATCTTGTTTATCGCGATATATGAGAGCGATGTTTCGAATTGTATTTGCTTTTCGCCGATGATCATCGGGACAACTCGTCTCTTGAATATCTAGAGCTTGTTGGTAAAAGCCGAGAGCCTGATCAAAAATCTCTCGATGATGATAGATACTTCCAATGCTTGACAAAGCGTCAGCAATGTGAGGATGATCAGTAGGTAAAAGCTCTCGACACATTTCATAAGCACGAGTGAAATAGTCCAGTGCTGTATCGAAATTACCTTTGTCTTTGTGCACGGCACCTAGATTCAACAATGTATTAGTTTGATGTAGATGTTTGCCACTGGACAGTTCATTTTCGTATATAGCTAATGACTGTTGATAGTAATCGATGGCACGATCTAGATCACTCTTATGTTTATAGATCACACCCATACTATTCAAGCAGGATGCAAGACGAATAGGAACAATAGGTTTCTGTTGTTGTCGAATATGCAATGCACGTTCGGAATATTGCAGCGCTAAATCATAGTCACCTTTTTCATCATAGACATGACTGAATTCCAGATTGACCAATGCTATATCTGGATGATCAGGTGATAATGTATCAAGAAGCATCTTATAATAACTTTCTGCCTGTGTCAACTGGCCCAGTTCACTCCAGAGAAGTCGACCAAAATAAACCAATGGACTGGAATAGTCAATTTCGACTTGGAGCCATTTAACATAATCGTTCACTTTTTCTGCACCTTGATCGCTGGCGACTAGTTGTACTTTCCAAACATTGTGTGTTGAATCAGCGTTCACGGAAACGATCTGAAATACGGTATTAAGGCTAAAGAGAACTTCTCGTTCCCAAGGCATTGAGCCCAGAGCAGATATATCAGCACAAATGACACCAGGTATGGATGGATCGGCTTGAATCTCGAATAGAACTCTTTCAGTAGTCGAATTGGATTTTGTTAAAAATCCAAACGAAATGTTTATATCGCGTGACGTTGAGAAAAATCCATTCGTGGAAATTAATCCACCGATGCTGTGCTGCAATTTATGGAATTCTTCTTTGTGCATCATTTGTCCACGATAGACAGTGAGATGACCTTCATTCTTTATCTTATCACTTTCTCGTTCGAGTTCAGCACAAAGATCAATAATGAAAAATCGAAACGCGTAGAGAAGTTGAATATCTTCTGTTCGTAAGGCTTGATTGAGAAGTTTATAAAGAAAACATTCGTCGGTATACCAACTAATAGCCTGATCACGCGTATAAGTCGTTCGAAATTGTTCAATCTTCGCTAATTCTGTTTGATTATTTTGATAATATTCAGCACATTGATCAAGCATTTCATGCATCGTACGATCATTGTGTGGCATTTGTTTGAGAACATAAATTAGCATTTGATGCCAAAGAAATGAAGCTGATTCTTTTGTTAGATCTCGTGTTGACTTTTGTTTTTGATTGAACAGACTGAAGTCCAATGTAATTCTTTCCAATTGTCGTGATTGGTCATGTAGGTATGTTAAAAGAGTCTTTTTATCGGAGACGATATCGATGATTTTCGAATATTTCTCGCTAAGACCGGTCGATTGTTTTTGATCGTCAAAGATGAAAATGCCAAGTACGACTTTGAGATCATGAATCGATTGAAGAAATTCTGTGGCAAATGAACTCGAAACAACAATGAGAAGCTGTTCATTAACCACTGCTTTGATCGCATCAATACATCGTTGTGAGTCCGTGTAGAATTGTGCGGCTGGATTCATTGTAAGTATCGCCGATTCTATGTCATTCAACTGTTGAGAATCACCCAGACCTATCAGGCGAATACCCTCCTTGTTTGAGATAACTTCTTTCGAATCTCTATGCAAAACAACAGTCATCTTTGCTCAACACGTGTCAGTAGAGAATAACTTTGTTGGCAAATATTCTTACGCTGCTGTCTGTTCTTTTACTTCTATACATAAGAAAATGCAATGTAAGAAGAGATATTTTTCTTTTTTTCTTCGCCTGGCAACATCTATGAGAAGGAGAGCCGAAAAGGTAGAACGACAAAGAAATTTTTTAAATAAGAACAGTCATCAGAGAGAAAAGATTGACCATGAAAAAACACCTACACAGAACAGCCTTTTAACACCAATTGTTAAAAAAAAGGGCTATATTTGCATTAAATTATTGTTTTTCTATTTTCACCGTTTTTAGATGCATCGTTTTTAGTTACAACACGTGTTTTCAACATAAAACATTGTTCAAATGCATTTTTTAGCGTTCTGTTACTGAAAAAAAATTTTTTTTTTTCATCAATGCGTTAGAACAGTCTTTATAATGCGTTTTTTTTTGTAAAAACTGAGTTATTTCACATACAAGTTAAATAAATATTTGGATTCATATTTTGAGGAAAAATGTCTTTTTACAAAATGAAAGTCTACCAGCATATAGGCAAGCATTTTTTTATATCACACTCAAAAAGGGTTGTCCTAGAGATAAATTTGTATGACTAAAGCATAACATAATATATTTGAATATTATGAAAGAGCGCAATAGAGTTGTATAACAGATATAAGAAGCGCAGACGAATAAAAAAAAATTAATATTGATTAGAAAAGCTCTTCTTAGTGTTTTTTAAGATTCTTAGAAATACTTCTAGTGATCCATTTTGAGTGTGACTGTCGTTGTATGCCTACAGGGATGGGTGTGCCTCTCGGTGCGTAAGTGAGTGTGAATGTGTATGAAGAGAAGATAAACACTCTCCTCATCACACCCGCACAACACCTTCCAAGAGTTCATCGAGTTTCTATTAGAAACGGTTCAAACTTTCGTATCAGACTCATTGATCGAAATTTACAGTGAAAGTATACTTGACGAGACAGATTCATTTGAAAGCTTATCAGAAAATTATGACGAGCAGGATGTATCTGAAGCAGCAATCGAAGAAAGTGACACAAATATAAACTTTTAACAAGAAACAAAAGAAAGTGAGGAATAAATAAGAAAAGAAGAAGTGTGGATATGGATTCTGGCCAGAACTGTAGAATCTACCCGTGTACGCCACCGCGCAGTGGGAAATGTTTTGGGAAACTACTGAGTATGGGAAAATTTTCGGAAAACTATTGAGTCTGTGGAAGGTTTTGAAAATTATTTAGTCTAGGGACATTTTACAAAAAGTTTTACCGGTCAGAGAAATTTTTCGTTTTTACGACGGATTCTGCACCTTTGGTTCTGGTATGAAGTATGTTTCTTCTTGACTCACGCCCTTAAAGCTATTAGACAGAAAAAATGCGGATATCTAGAATATAAAGGCAGGAGTTTCATTAAGTTCATTTTTTGTCTGGTCTCGGGGGGGGGGGGGGGTGTGCAGGACAAAATTTTTCGACGAAAAAAAAGATTGCTGAAATTTTTTAAAATCACACATAGAATAATTCAGTTCTTTATGCTGATTCCGAATATTATATTAGTTTTCACTCAAATTAAATCTTTTCTCATCAGAGCCTGAAGGATAGTGTGTTAGGTAATTCTTCAAGTGGTCATATCTATTTGACTTTTTGAAAAAATATATAATTTTGTTGCTTTTCAAAAGAGCTATCAAATAAACAATATGGGACTTTTGATCACTAGATTTTCTAAACTAAAATATTTGCTGAAAATCGATAGTAGAAAAAAAAAATAAAGTAAATATGCTAACTATGTCTATCAGTGCATGGGATCTATATCTCATTACATTAAACATACTAGCGGACAAAAAGAAGAAATTTTTTTCATCGAGAGTATGTAATCTAGACATACAGATCTAAATTTTGTGTAGATTTCAAAAAACACATATGGAATATATGAGAATATCGAAAAATAAGAAGGTACCAATCAATTATATTGTAGAGATCAAACGAACATTTTACCTATTTTCGTATTCAGAAAGTTTTTTTAAAACATATAATGTTCTCTCAATAAAAAGAACTTGACGTACATTTGAATGTATAGATGCCAAGGTGAAGTTTCAATGTACTTTGCTTACATTTCATTCAATTAATATTATTCATTTCTCTTTTTTCAAATAAAAAGTCAGTGCATAATTAAAAATTGTTTTTTTGAATTATATGTGTTAGGCAATAGCCACTCTCTATTTTAAAATCGAAATGAGAAAAAAGAAGATTGTATTCGCATATGTATTCAAAAAGAAGCAGTACAATATCATGAAAAACTCGAAAAATCTCTCGACGATAGAGATAATTAATGCGTATTACATATGCAATTATTGTACATACGATGACATGATGTTTTTTTGTTCATATTAAAATGAATAAATTCAATATGTTTAATTATTCTCCATCTTGTTAGTTACTCTTTTTTCTCTGTGCATAATATAAAAGTAGAGTTAAAACAACAAATGCATACATTTCATCAACTCAATAATATAATTTTTCAGTCATAAGTGAGTATCCATTTTACAATTTGATCTTTACTGTAATCATGATAACAAAGATATTTACGAATATGTTATAGCAGTTCTATTAAATTTAAAAAAGATATTTATCTTTAGTTCTCCTCAATTGATTTGAAATGCATATTAAACAATATTATAAGAAGTTGTTAGCGCAATCTCTGTAAGATTAAAACATGAAACACATTTCTTCACTATCCTTTTACTTAATTCCCCAGAAATACAATAACGAAGTAATTCAAACATTATAAGACGATACGTTATAGATACACAGTTCTTGATCCTATGTCGATAATGTCTGTCACATTCTATGACCCAGCGGGGAAAATGCGTTGCTAAGGTGTCTGTCACAATTCGTCATGAAAAAAAGACATTGTTAGAAGTGTTTGTCATGTCCGTGATATGTTGTTTCTGACGTCTGTAATAGTCTGCTAGAGGTAAAGCCTGGTGGTTCCGAAAAAAAAAACAAATCAAAACTGGAATGTTTTAGTTGCTCTTGTTCAGAATCGGTGGTATAGTATTATTAGATTACCTATTTCGAATATTTCTTCGAACTACTGATCTTTGATGAGGAAGAGAGAGTGAGAGTGGCTGCTAATTTCTGTCCTATATAATTTAATAGTCCTTTCGGTCATGTTTTACGAAAAGACGCCTTTTTTGTATATTCTGGATGTGGAAGTAAATGACTGCTATCATAATTCATACCAATACCTGCCTACATCTACATCCACACCCACAAGTCAATATGCACATATGTGGAATTGTAGAAAATTCTGTGCGCTACCACAATAGTGAATTATTTTTGTAAGAATATTAATTTATAGCAATGACGTATTAAAAATAATGAGTCTAACTATTGTTTTCCAAGGGGATATATGAATATTATCGATAGTTTATTTCAGATTTAATACTATGAATAAAACAATCATGTTCGTTTTGCTGATATTGATTTGGATAATTGCTATTAAGGCTAATCATTTTAATGGTGGTACCATTAATTGGATGCCAGTGTATCCCAATGACACGTCTTCATCAATTTTGATTACTATTACACAGTCTTATTCATGGGTTTATCCGACAGTGAGTTGTACGACAAATATTCCTACAACAGGTGGTAGTAGCAGCACAACTTTAAATTGTATTGCTAATTGTTCTACAGACGGTGGCTATTCTAATCACTTAATCAGTATTTTAACTGATTGTACTTCATACAGTACATCGTTGAACATGACAGCAAGTGAACGATCTGTTAATGTTACACTCAATGAAAGTGCATATTTTCGAATATCCTATGATAGTTCAGCTTGGAGAAGCTTGGAGAATGCTGCAACAACAAACAATCCTGGATGGTCAATTGTTTCTTTAATTGATCTTCGACGACGTCCTGATGGTATTTTTAACACTCCACCCGTAGCAAAAGTAACCTCTCCTCAGTATATCATTGTCAATCGTACAACTGCAATCCAAATACATGTATCAGATGTGAATGCAAATGACGATATACGCTGTCGATGGAGTTCAAAAAACAGGTATTTCGAACGAAAATAAATTGATAGTTTTCACATCTTTTGTCATAATTAATATTGTAGAAATTCTTGAGCTTGTAGGATGATCAAGAGATTTAAAGAAAAGACGAGTTTTGAATCAGTGGTAAAACAAAAATAGCATTCTGTTCTCTTTAATAACAAAGAAAATTTTCCATTTACACATCGATGCATACCTCTTTCCACTATGACAAAGTGTAATAAATTCTCACCCAGTTTGAGTTTTCAGTTTAAACATAGTTTTATTTCTAAACAGTAATAGGTTTGACTTGTTTGCGAATAACCTATGATAGGAATAACATAGAAACGTGACGTTTTCATCATTAAAAAGAGAAAAGACCCTAGGCTATTGATATATATGTCGAAGTTTGATTAGTCTACAATTGGTCAACCAAGTGATTTATCTACAGAGATTTTGAAAAGCATATTCTAGATCCATCTCTCATTGGGTTTTTACTTGGAATATGATTAATCGATAGGAAAAGTTCTTTTTTTTATCTACACAAGCCACTAGTTTCTAGCATGTTTCGTTTCACAGTCAGAAGTATATTCCCGAGACTCTTGATTTCAACAAGCTGACCTTGAAAGACTTCAAAATAACTCAGAACAGGAGTAATTCATCATGCTTGGTCCAATAATGATATTTGTTTCCAGTTTCAAAATTACCTGAGACCACTATTTCAGTATTTTTGAACTTTGAAAAGTTTTGAAAAAATAGACTTATCTAGTTTTGAATTGAAAATAAATATCACCGTTGGACTAAGCATGATGAATTACTCTTTTCTTGAGTTCTTTTGAAGACTTTCAAGGTCAGCTTCTTGAAATCAGGAGTCTCGGAAATATTCTTCTAACTCTGAAACAAAACATGCTCGAAAGTTGTGGCTTGCGTAGATCGAAAAGAAACAACTTTTTCTATCGATTAGTTATATTCCAAGTCGAAATTCAATGAGAGATGGATTTAGAATATGTTTTTCAAAATCTCAACAGGCTACTAACCTGATTGGTCAGTTATGGATCTATCAGATTTCACTATACGTTTATGAGCTAAAGTAGTCTTCCCTCTTAAATGACGAAAACACCAGGTTTCTAGGTTCTTCCAATTGAAAGTTATTCAAAAGAAATTAGATTCATCATTTTTTTAGAACAAGAATAAACACAGAGCAATCTCATTATGGTTTTTATGTTCTTTTTTCCACGATATCTTGTTTGTAGGAATACGAAACAAGTATGTTATCATCATATATTGAATCATTTCAGAGATAACTAACTATGACTCAGTCGTCCTTTTGAATAGGCCTTTTGTATTATGAGTACTATGATTAAGTATTAAAAATTAGAAAGAAGAGAATATAAAAAGATTTGAAATTTTTCTTAATATATTGTTTTGTAAATAGCTCTAACGGAGTCGACGAATGTGGTGATATTTGTAGTATGGGGAACGCATCTAACCTGATAAGTTTGTCTGGTTGTACGGTTACATTTACGCCAAAAAAATCTGGTGTTTGGTATGCTATTGCTATACAGGTAAACAATATACTATTAAATATATTCTTTTATCTTCGAATGTATATTATCCATATATATCTATAAAATAGTCTTAAAAATTTATTTTCAAATAAAATACAGTTTTTCTTGTGATATTTTATTAGTTGTTATATAGTTTTAATCAAAAGTTAAAATATGTTAAGGTAAAAACTAATGACTTATATTTAATTACTCAGTATTGTACAATGAATTCCCAGTAGTTTTTGCTTGGTAAAAACTTAGTTGTAGTATCGTAAATAGTTTGAAAAGCTCAATAATTAATTTATAAAAGATTCAGTATTTAACGTCATGAGTGCCAATCTTCGTAACGGCAGCATCCATTCCTACACTCACATCCACGTTCACACCACACCTCATTATCCGCAGTCTTACTCTTATGTTGATAGTCTGATCTATTTACTGATAATTTGTATATAAAACTGAACAATAAATTATATTAACCGTTTATAAAAACTACTGAGTGTTTGCCAAAAATACTGAGCATATGATTTGTTCCTTTAAAAAATCATTGAAATTTGCGCCATTTTATTTTAAATTGTAGCGACAGAAATATGCTATTTTACTTCTGCCATTATTATATTAATAAAACATCTGTTTAATTGAAAGATATAGTGTTTTCGACAAATGATTCGGATCTTATACAAAGTCATCTTCATTATATTTTCTTTAGGTTGAAGATTTTATCAACACAACAAGCAGTCAGCCATTGAGTTCAGTGCCTATTCAATTCCTAATTTATGTATTATCTACGCCAAATTGCTCACAAGCACCTCAAATTCTTCCTTTAACAGGCTGTTTAGAAGTTAAAGTGAATGTATCAGTAACTTTTACTCTTTATTCAATGAACTTCTGCAATAGAACAAAGTTCATTATTACTGACATCATGTTTACAGTAGACATCACTGGTATGCAAGTCAGTAGTCTAGTAAATTCAACAGCCAATGCATCATTAGTCTATGTCACGCTAACTTGGAAACCAACAACAAATCAAATTGGATTCCAGCAATTTTGTGCAGTTGCTTATACCAAGTAAACTATGATCTTTTATTTTTTGAAACACGATCTAAAAGGAGTATTAAAGAATATAGAGTAGAAATCTCCACAGATCGTGACAGACATTGTTGATATATGATCGCAGACTGTATATCAATAACGGCTCGTTACAATATATGAACTACTTTCTTATTGCATTTCTGTAATATCAAGTAAACTAAGAATAAATCAATGTGTCCCAAAATAGACAAAATAAAACAATCTCCATGTGATTAGCAATAATAGTTACAATGTGTTTCACATTTTAATACCGCAGAAATTATGTTAACAGCTTCCAAATTAATATATAGCACATTTGTTTTCTGTTACATAGTGAAATGGTCCAATCTGATCCATATTGTGCTACATTCACTGTAATGGCATCAGAGACTTGCATAACAACTACAACTTCGACAACAACTTCAACAACAACGACAACAGATACAACTTCGACAAGCACAACAACTACAACTTCGACAACGACTGAAACAACAACGACAACAGATACAACTTCGACCACCACTGAAACCACGACGACAACAACTGCAAGCACAACAATAAGTACAACATCAGAAACTACAACATCTACTACATCGACTCAAACTACAACAACAACTACGACCACAACAACAACTACTACATCGACGCAAACTACAACAACAACTACGAGTACAACGACTACTACAACAATCACAACGGCAACAACAACGACTACTACTTCAATTACGTGCGTAACAGAGAATCATTGACTAATTGCCTTTTAATAACTAGTTAATTATAAACGTAATTTTAGTTTATATAAATACATATTTTTTTTATCGATTATTTTGCGAAACACGACTTAAAAGAAATGTTCATGCATTTCAGGTAGAAGTTTACACATTCCCCTCCCCTTTCACTGACTGGAACCGACATCTTAGCATCATCATTCCACTGTTACGAACCGAGACAAACATAGTCACGAGGTTTAAGTTCACTACAGAACTAGTATGATAGTTGTTCTTTACTTTTCTTTGATACTCATTAAAATATATTACAATGAATATCTTTCATCATCAACATGTATTAACAGTAGATAGGAACTAATAGACTAAAATATATATTGATAAATTCCCTCTTTTACAATATCAGCAACTCAATCGTGTTTCACATCGTAATTCTACAGGACTTATGGTAACAGCTTTTTGTGTTGTAACATATCTACATGTTTTTCTTATTGATTTTTAGAAAATTTATTCATCATTTCATAAAACTTAAGAAATTTAAGAAACGTACATTCTTACCAATTCTTTTTAAAAGAATCATAACAGTGTTTATAGATAATTGAAAAAGCTTCTAATCATTCTACTATAATACATAAACTATTTTTCGATTTCTAGTTAAAATCACAATTAATCCTGACAAAAAAAACTTTCTCTTATCATAAAATATACGAACATAATATTTATTTCTCCATATTTTTTGTTTAAAAAATAAGCAGCCAATTTTAACTTTGAAAAGTCATACACAAGAAATATCGGGAAAAAAATTTTTAAAGATGTTTGTATAATATTTATATATTTAGAACTACAACACAAACTACATCGCAAACTTCTAGTAAGTTGAAATGTATGTTGTCTTCTTTAGAAGTTATTTTCTTTTTCTATAATATTCAAGCTTCGAATCAAATAAATGTACTATTAATTGTGGGCTTATCATTATTGGGTCTATTATTAGCGTTGTGTTGCTGTTGTTGTTGGTTATACTGTGCAATAAGGTAGACATTTATCTTTACTCTTTATTATACTATCAATGACGAAATGCTTCCGAGTTGTTGTTTTCATGGATACTTTCAGAAGTAGTCAACTGCAAAAAATGCAAAATTCTCAGAAGATTTTTTCATCTGTAGAACTTGTCTTGCTGATCATTCTGGTAAAAAAGAAATTTCAAACTTACTCAATGAATTATGGCACTAGGATCAAAATACCCCAAAACGTCAACTACCGCTCGACAGCAATCAAGTTCAAGAATAGCTGAAGTTCTGAAGTATTTTGGTCTGACCACCACGATTTATAGAATAAATTTGAATATTTTTTTTAACTAAAATAATCAGCACAACGAGCTATACAGAGCGAAAAAATCTTCTGAGATTCATGAGTTTTTGTTTTGTTTTATTGACTACTATGGAAATATTTATCAAAAATACGATTCGCAAGTAATTTGTTATTAGTAGATTGATCAATAATTTTTTTTTGTAACAAAATTTCCTAAAGGTCACAAGACATTATCTTGACTAGGTCTTATCTTTATTTCTTGTTTATATTCATTCACATAGGAATGGTGCTGCCAGGCGTCGTCGAAAAAGTGAAACTAGAAGAAACTCGTGGCAACCAATCTATACATTATCTGATCGAGAAGTTTTAAAGGATATTGGCTTAAGTCAAAAACAACGAAACTATCTTAAACCTAATGAATTAAATAACCAAGATAACATTACGAATATATTTGCCTCCAACAAGTCGATAAAATCAGCAAATAATAACGAAAGAAAAAATAATGTTGATCATATTAAATTAAAGAAAATTTCAAAATCACATGAAAAAAGAAATCCATTAATAAAATTATATCATCACCAAGATTCTCTTGAAAATACATCTATTGCAGAAAATCAGTCTACATTTGAATGTTCTTTCATGACCAACTCTTCAGAAAATTTATTACCAAATTTCTCTATGATTAACAAGAACAATCAGGCGATGAAATCGCCAAAACTTCATCATGAAGAACACAAATTTTCTTCTTCATCATCAACTAAAATTCGTGTCGTTAAATTGCCAAGAAATAAAGTATCAGCATCTTCCAATAGTCACACTAACAACGTATCAGAATCAAACAATTGTCAAACAAACGACCAAATTGTCATGAACAATAAAAATGATAATGCTATTAATGGCATTTCAAATACAATTTCATCTACAAAGGTGAACCAAAATTTTTTCATAAAAGCAGCCAGTGCCCAAAACAAACAGGACTCTTACACGAATGGTTCAAATACTGAAGATAACAATAATCATATACGACAGCGAGCATCCTCTTTTAGTGGCGTTACCGTCAGCAAAATTAAAATAAAGAACAACAACAAAATAGATATAAACAATGGAATAACTGTAGTTTCTATGAAGAAACAACAATCTTAAACTTGATAGAATTGATTAAATATCTGACAAGGATTTTATTTTATATTCGTTCAAAAGGATAATAAACTTCTACTTGTAACGAGACAAGTACATCATCAATTGTAAACATAAACATTGGATAAGATTTATATTTTTCAAAATAATAGAAAAAATATATTTCTTATCGCTTATTAATTTTTTAAAGTTCATTGTATTTATCAACAGTTCAATAAATTAAAATCGAATTATTTATTAATAAGATGCTTACATTTCTTTATTAACTACTAACTTGTCTCAATTATTTGTATATTTCATTTCCATCCGAATAGAAATTCACACTAAACGTTTAAAATACTTTTCAAATTTCAAATATATAATCTGAAAAATCATTCTTTTAGCACAACAATGAAACAGCATCACCCATCATGGAGAATCTACTGTAGAGAGTATATGATTTATACTCCATGGAACATCTAATTTGAGGGTGTAGGTCTTGGTCTTGCCGTCATACTCACAATCGCAGTTATTTTTTGTCAAATATCATATATTATTCTTTTATTCATATGTGCTTACAAATGATAGACGTAAGTGACTTTCAACAGTTGTTCTTCTATTTATGTTAATAAGAAGTCATTGTATCTAATTTCAATTTCGTTTGTGCTTCACATGATATAAATGATCAAAAACAATTGTTAGATATATATCTATTCTAGAAATTTTCAATAGAGTAAGCAGATTAGAAAAAGTTTCTTTAAGAATGATTCGTTGACTAATAATGTTTTTATCCATTAATACCAAAATGGTCTTGTAATTAAAATTTAATGAGGTTATCCAGATAGAAATTGCTCATTGGTCTACTTTTATAACGACAGTAATAGTTATAGACAAGAGATATTTTATTCTCTAGTTAATAAAATATTTTATAAAGTCTTCTATCACTCAAGATAACAATGAACTTATTGATCGTATTTTGGTAGTGCACTAGCTGAAGTACCCGCGGCGTTGCCCGGGAAAATTCAATATTGCATACTTGACATATTGGAAAACGGTGATCTTATGGTTCCCTATCAGCTATCGATCTTGGATGTTGCAAAATGCGCTAGGATCTCTTTCCCTTTTCACCTTTTTTATGGCAGGACATGGACGGAACCAGTGTTTTTCGGTCCCGATCCCAGTCCCGGTCAAAAAATTTTTGGCTCTGGTCCCGGTTAAAAAAGAATTCAGTACAGACGATTTCCCTAATTCTGCGGAAAGTTTTTTTTTATTTTTTATTTTTATCAGTACGAAACCATTTTACATCCAATCACAAATATTTTTATAAATCTGGATTCTCCTCTTTCACATGCTATATTTTTGGTCTTTTGTTTCTCATATTTTCACGTTGAAATAATCGGTCTACAAAAATGAACTTCAATTGATAGAATTAGGGTGTAATTCCCTAATTCTGTCNCAAAGAATAGGATTAAAACTTTGGTTGTATTCATAGTTCTGCTATCACTCTATCTTTATATGGTTTCCCAGAAAATAAATATAACAAGTATTTTTCGACAAGTACCTACAGCAGCTTATCATATGGAACAATATTTATTTACTTTTGATGCAAAAATCATTATGCTTCAGTCATCGAACGCACTAAATCGAATCTACGAACAACATTTTTCCCATTATACGGCTGCTCCGTTTTCACCGACCTATCAAAATCATCGCCTAATACTTAAATTCAGCGTGCGTGCCCTCGCAACGTATCTGCACGGCAATGCCGATGGTTTTCAAGGCTCCATTCGACATCTAAGAGTCACATGTTTACAAAGACTCCCAAAAGAAACGACATTTGAACAATGTTTCAATTTTACTTTACGCTTCAACGTTAAGAAGCTTGACGCGCAAACAATACATTTTACTTTGCATTCTATATCTGTGATTGACCAATTCTTAGTCATTTCAACCGTCCCAGTTAATAAACGAAACGATATAACCACTCACATAATTGTACAAGCCAATCGAATATATTCTGTTGACACCGTTTTTAGTTTCACGCATCAATGGCTCGACTCGAATGTTTTGAATTTTTTTCATTGGCCTCAATGGCCCTTGAAAAAATCCTGTAGAAATTCAATTTTGAACCATCTCAGGACGAATCATACTGATCCTTCTCAACGTCAGTTTTCCTGTTCGATTACTAGTATTTTAACTCATTCTACATCAAGACAGTTGTTCAATGATGAACGAATTGCCATTTCTGAATGGCTTGATGTACAGTACAATTCAACGAAAACAGATTCACTCGCTACACAGCATCCATCGAGCACCTTATTATCATCAACGATACGAACAAGAAATCTTAGTCCATTTGAATTGGCATCGAATCCAAAAGTCTGTTCTGCAGAATTTAACAGATGGATTTCAAAATATCAAGATTGGCATGAAAATGTTACTTCACGCATTAGTGATCCAAGATTGACTTTTGAGCAGCAGCGTGATCGTATCATCGACCAGAATGTTCGTTTCATGCTCTATGAAAAGCACCCTTCAGGTATTGCTGACCGCATCACTCATTTAATGACAACCTATCTTATCGCCATATTGACTAATCGATTGTTTGTGTTTGATGCTGACTGGCCAGAATTTTCTCATGTAATGCTGGCAAGTTTAAATTATGAACGAGAATCGGTGATCCCATGGTTTCGTAGTCTAGACCGTCTCAATAGCAATCTAACTCAAAATAATACAAAGTATCTCACATCAGGTCATTACAAATTTTCTTTCGACCGACTAAATCGCGATTATGACTATGATCGACAATTTTCTGAGCGAATTCTCGTTTTTCGAGCTCATACGGGAGGTATTATACATATGATGAAGTCACAAACAAGTGTCTATCGTAAATTTCTGACAGAATATCTGCGCATGAGTGCAGATACTATGTTCGGATGTCTCTATCATTCCTTATTACTCCATCGATTGTCAGCATTAATCGAAAGAATATCGACGAGCATTGGTACCGACTCTCTGCAACAGGAGCAGCTTGGTCATACCCCACAGCAGCTCCTCCAAGTACTGTTGTCGCCGAACTTTTATTCTATTGGCATTCAAGTGCGCACTGGGGATTGGACTATGACATTCGATAAGTTTCACAGTTGGCTCAAACTTGTTTCCAGTGAGAACTTGATGCTTAAATCATATCAATATTTTCTGAATTGTGCGCGAGATATCGTCGATGGAAATCAAACATTTCTCACTGACGTCAAACAGGTACCGATAGCTTTTCTCACATCAGACACTGTCCGACTTCGTCGAGCAGCTTTGCTACGTTGGAAACTACCATCCACTTGTATTCAATCGTTTGTGAATGCATGCCGAAACCACACAAACCCTTTGCCTGTGATAGCCGATTCAAATCCTGTCCTTCATGTTGCCTTCACATCACAGCGCTCGTTAGCATTAAGTCTGGCTATGTTTGATATTTTTCTCTTCGGTTTATGCGAACAACATGTGATTAGTGCAGAAAGCGGTTTTGGCAGTCTTGGAGTGTTTGCAGCCTTGAAACAACGAAACATTTATTCGCTTACAACGGTTAAGAAAAGGACGTGTTTTGGCAGAAATCAAACAATCTCTCTAGTGAGTTCTAGCTACCAGTGGTCTGGTATTTGACGAAAATGAGACGCTTTTGATTTTCTTAATATTGTTTGTGATGTATCCAGTTGAGTGGATTCCATACATAGTTTTCAATCTTCCTTTTTCATCTTATGTGCTGTTTACTTTTCTGCTCTTACTTTATTGTTCTTCCATTTCTGTCTTTTCCTTTCATGCTATTTTTCTTTGATTGCGTATGTAAACGTGCGCTTTTTATGTTAACGATGCAATTGTATGACATGAAGGATTAGAATCAAGTATAACTCCATCCGCCTAAGATTCGTTCTATCAGAAATCATCACATTTCCTTTTTATTATTACCGGAAGTATATTATAAAAAGATTTAAGTGAGAGTATATGAGAGCGAAGTGTGGTGCATGCCCAGTGAAAAATTTTAGAGATTTTCAATCGGATTTTTGTGCAACAAAATTAAAATTAAAATCGATTGATAATTTTGATTATTGTTGATCATGACTTAACTATTATTTAATATTGTTGCTTATCCAGTGTAAAATTTTCCGATTAAAATCGGATTATTCTGTAGCAAGGGTGTGGATGTGTGGGTGTGGGTGTGTGGGTGTGGGTATGGGTGTGGGTATGAAGAGTGGAATGATTGCTTAAGTGTGGGTATATATGCGGGTGTGTGGGTGTTGGTGGTGGTGTGGGTATGAAGGGTGGAATGACTGTTTAAGTGTGGTATATATGTGGGTATGGGTGTGTGTTGTGAGTGTGTGGGTGTTGGTATGGGGGTGTTGGTG